TCTGAAAGGTAGCTGGGCCAGTCAAACGCGCTGACACATCCTCAGTGTAATCATGTCTTTCCACGGGACACGTCGCGGATCTGCAGTTCAATGAGTTTGATTTTCTATTTCTTGGTGAGTTCTCTCAATTTGCCACCTGTGTCCTTCACATTAATTTATATGCATTTATACCGACGATGACAGCCTATGGAAAGTTGCATGTTCCCGAAATCGCCCCCGATCCCCGCTTAAAGATCTGTTTACATTCCAACTGTCAACCTGCAGGCCCTTGCCGAGGCCACGATTTCCTGTGGCGCTCTCAAACCTGAACAGCATGACCATTAATCTGTTATATCTCGACGGAACTTTAATGACATTGACGCTTGACATTGATTGTACCTCTCCATCCCGCGCCCTAGTCAGACAACACAACACGTCTGCAATGTTCCTTCTTCCCTCCCCCACCATGATGCCCGATATCGTTCAGTGCGATGCTTGTACGCAAGTAATCCCATCCGACAAACCCCGACTACAGTGTCTAACCTGTTCAAACTACGACCTCTGCGCAAATTGCGCTCTGGGCGGCAAGTTCACTGGAGAACACCATTTGTCTCATCAGACTCAGATCTACTCCGTCAGCGGAGGGAAAAATCTGTCGCCCGTTGTCTCAGACGATTTGTCGCTGGTTTTCGCCGGTCCTGTCGATGTCATTGAATCGCGACCCGCGTGCTCCGCGCCTCACTTCCGAGTCGCCGCTCTGTTACATCTCCGCCACCGTTGCCTCCAAGGCGTACCAGCGCTGCGAGTGCCAACGTGGTCAACAAGTTTCTACATCTCCTACTTTATCCACAAACCCATCCCGACCGCCTACTACAATTGCACCACTTTCATCTCCACCACCAGTACCGCGTCGGACTTCTCTGAAATGGAGCGCATTGTTTGATGGGAACATGGACGTCACATTAATGGGTGAAATGCTCCTCGCAGCAGTGTTCACTCACCTCGATACCTCATATTCCGGATACCTCTCCCCGGAAGCGTATTCCGGTTTCTTGATGACCAAGGATATCAGCTGCACGAAAACATCTGTCCGTCCTCATAATCTTCTGAATTGGACACGATCTGACGTGCCTTCCAACAGGGAAAGCGAACCTAATCCAAGACCCAGTCTACGGCCAATCAAAGGAGAACGTGGCGGACAAAGCGCTAAAGAACGCATACGACCTCTTCTCCATCGAACATATCCTGCATGAGAGGTTTAACCCACCCGGCTCGACGCAGCCCTCCATGACATCCCAGCTGTTCTCGCTTTTCGCCCCAGGTATAAACGTGAATGCATCATCAGCCGGGACCGTGTCAGCGTCAAAGATGCCCCTCCTCACATTGAAAGGGTTCATCGATATCACGACAGTAGAAATTCTTTCCGATCCCTCGAAGGGATGGGGGAATCTCCAGAGGGCGTTGAAGAAGTACCGCCTTTCCCGGTTCGAAGGCTGGGAAGATCTCCCGCGGCACGTTCTCCCTGAATATCCCGACGCGAGGATGTTGCAGCGGGTCCAGAAAGTTTCGGAATTTGCAAAGGCCCGAGACGAGCAGCTCCTTGCATCGACGATGGCAGAAATGCAGCTACGAAAGCAGGGCAGGCAGAACGCACTTGATTTACTGGATGACCGTCGATACTACTATTGAGTGATAAATTTCCTTTATAAACAGAGATGATACAGCTGCTGATATGACAAACATCGAAATAGCCTCGCTATACTGACAACGGATGGTAAAATTTCCTATGATTTTGGATGTGACGCGTAGGCAAATACTTAGTGTGTCATATGGAGGGATCCCTGGGATCTCTGATCAGAGGTGTCCTCAACTCGAGCGCAGTAGAATGTATCAATAAGCCCGCCTTCAAAGTTCACGCTTTACGACGCGGTAAGTGCTAGTCTCAAAGTTGGAAACGATATCGTAAGTGACCAGTAGTGGTCGTGATTCCTAGAGCATCGAGACGAAGCAAGCAAATATACACAACGATGGGATAGAGGCGAAGATATATACAATAATATACAATGGATGACAACGGGTATGAAATAGCAGATGAGATGAATAAGAGCGCGAGAGAATGTATGCGAAAGATCAATGGCTGAACAGGTGTGAGACGCTTGGTCCGAAAGCCTGGCGTCCAAAAGACGCGGCTTATCGATCCGCCACGCCAGCTCAGATCGGAACATCTCCTTCGGAGACACGACATAGTATCGCAGATTTCCCGTGAACGTGCCATCCATACTGAGGTGTCTCTGGCCTAGACGAGGTTTTAGGCGTTCCAGAACATCCTCCATGGAATATTCGACGTAGTCGCCACTGCGATACGTCGAGATGTCCTTCAGCTCGTCGACGAACGTGATGCCCTCAGCCTCGCCCAAGGCCTCCGCCGCCAATGCTTGAACCTCAGGCAACGTAAAACCAAAGGCACCCGAACTCGCTCCTCGTCGGATACATCACATCCAATGTCGCCGAAGAGAGACTCGGATAGTTCAACAGATCTAACCCACGGTGGCTCCTCTTCGATAGGCCTTCCCAAGATGGCCCCACCCACTACATAGCCACTCTCCAGAGCGGTCCGGAAAGGCTGAGTGATACAGTCCAAGACAACATGACTGATGCGATGTAGTTCTCGGGTGTTGACTTCAGTAGCGGCCAGTTGAAGTTGTCGATGAGGAGAATCAGCCTGTGACCCGAAAAGGTAAGAAGTGTCTAAAAGCGTAGTCAGAAAAGTGTGCCGCTTTAAGGATACAAGAACTTACCAAGATCTCGTCGAAGGTATATTAGACGTGGAGTGAACGTAGCTCAGGATTTCATCTTCGTCAGACAAATCTAGTTGCTCGGCGTATTGGCGAAGGAAACTGCGATATATCGAATTCATGTACGCGTTCACCGAACTGCGCATGTTCTCGCTGGTATCGTAGAAGACCGCCTGGAGGTCGACAGACATCACAAGACGGTCTCCCCGAAAGTAAGATGGAAAACTTAATGCACGAGGACCGAAGGCATGCGCGACGGCGCGCTCATTAAGGACGTCGTGAATAAACTCGGATGTGGAAAGGAAAGTCGTCATCCCAAAGCCGGAAGGTCGTCTCACCAGAGCAAGCTGGTCTTCTCGGCGGGAGATTACGGGGCATAAAGCATCGACGAGGGTATCTTGTTGACCCATATGGTCCCAGGAGCGTCAAGAATATGCTGCAGGACACTTCCAGTAGGAACTCGGCACTACACAGAATTAGTGTGGTCTTCGGGGATAGATCCTGGGAAGACTTACTTGTGCAGCTGCAAACGTGCATTTGTATATATGAGGGCGAACAAGGGTAGGTGGGTGGTAGTATTTTGGGTAAAAGGAATCTTTGTCTAGCGGCGGGGAGCGCGAACGCTGGGAGCCACCGCTCTGAGTCGGAGATGCAAAACTCTGCATGTGGGACTCGACGGTGGCGAGACTGAAGATGTAGAGGGTAGATCAGAGAAAAGGCTCTCTGCCAAACCTTCCGACGACGCCGCAAAGTCGGCTAAAGGATGGCTTACTCGGACCCTAAAGATCGAGGTTAACGCGTACCAGATTCATATTCAAGCGGGTAGTCGTCCGGTGAGCCGTCGAATATCGACATGTTGGGAAGTAGTGGGTGTTGCATAGTGGTGGTGAGAGGCAGACGCGGTTTGAAACTTGGCTAGCGGGAACAAAGGTCGGATCACGTGTCAATCAACACGGTCTAAATATAGGTTTCATTATGCTCTTCGCGAATCGCGCGTTGTTGTAAAAAAGGAAACGTGTACCGCTTTAGTATGAGCACGAGATAGCCGATGGGTTACTAGTGCCTTCTCCCTTACACTAAGAACAGCTCCAAGCTGATAGGTGACCGTGATATATCAGTGTTCAACGCGCACAAACTTCTTGCAAAACTTGCTCCGGTTTCGGAAGGAGAACGATGAGGACAGTATCCAGCGACGGACTCAAGCCCCTACACTATATCGAACTGGTTCTGAGGCAAGTAAGAAGGACGTTGATCTAACCACCGGTGCTTGTTAAAATCAAAATTGTGTCATCGATTCTAATCAGTGGGGTACGGGGACTCGAACCCCTAGCTGCCGTATTCGATGAGAGGCGACAACAATGGTAACCTTTACACGATAGTACCCAATGACCTAGTTCCCTTAAGTACTTCTCCCGGAGACAGATGGAGTCCAGAGTCCAGACATGCTCAGCTTGTAGTCGAATGAACTACAAAGTTCGATGGCAGCTTGCGCGCATACGCCACATGGCAGGCATATAGTCACATCCACAAATCAGTGAGCAGAACGACCGGTAAGGCCCTAATGACAAGATTCAAAAAGGCACAATCCAGGTAAGGATTCGGATACGAGGAGTCGAACCCCGAGCTGCCGCAGAACTCAGTATTCCATGAGTGGCGGCAACAATGGCAGCCTTTGCACCATAGTACCCAATGACGATACATTAGGTAAAATCATCATGAGTCTAAACAAGACATAAGCTGAGAATAAAGAAAATGTCAAATCAGATACAGATGGAGTTCCAGACATAGGGTGTCATGCTCAGCTTGAAGTTTGGTAGCTTAGGCGCGTACGCCACACAGTTCAGTGAACGACGCCGGACGGTATAGGGTGGTGAAGTAAACCCTAGGTTTTGATACACCTCGGTTTACTGCGGTTAGTAACGGTATTGATACGGTATCGAAACCTCAGCTGAGGTATCAGTACAGTTTCGATACCGACACGTGACAAATTCACGTGATGGCGCGCTGGCACTCAGGCAAGCACAAAGTGGCGGTATAAGGGTGGGCGGAGGGCGGCGGAGCGGTGCGCCACATCACGTGGTAAAAGCACGTGCCAGTATCGAAACCGTTACTAACGGTTTCGGTCGGTATCAATACCGTTACTAACACCCCCCGGAGGTTTGCTGCGCCACCCTAGGACGGTAAGACTTTGGAACACGGTGCAAAAAACGACTTATCTCACTGGAATTCGGATACGGGGAATCGAACCCCGAGCTGCCGCGCACATTCCCATGCACTTTTAGATGAGAGGCGGCAATGTTAGCCGTTACACCATATCCGACATCGTGTAGCGCTTGTAGCGAGTACAGGCTCTCATGACGAACATATCGGCAAGTGAAAAAGTGCTGTCCATCCCGTCTCACTGTCGCCATCATTTCCTGCTTATCGTGCGAGATAATCGATGCGCCTCTACTCGAGAACCGCTTCTGCCATCGGTCCGAGCGCTACACGGATTCTCGATGCACCGTGACATCTGCTTGAGAATCTCTGTCATCGGGATGTACTCTCCCGTGCGCACTTCCACTTCTTCTCCATCGACATTGGATGAAGTCTACGTCACCTCTATACACACACGAATGACGGGTTCCCGGTCGATTCAAACTTTCGGGGTGGGTGCCGTCTCGTACTTGATTTGCGGGTGCGCCGGAATGAAAACCATTCGCGGATTGCCAGGTACAGCAAAGGGGAAATGTGAAAGACGTGCTACAATCCCTTTCTCATCATTGACAACGACATTATCCAAAACTCAATGGTAAATCCCATCAAAAGGATGGCAAACGATTATACCCACAGTGACGATGCACTCTTCGTTTTCATCCGCATACTGGTAGTGGCCGATCGCGACGAGGCGAGCTCAATAAAGTCCACCTAGAAAACCAAAAAAAGTACGCGAAATGTAGACATAACAACAAAAGAAAATACATACTTACCTAGTTCGTGATCTGGGATGGCGAATCTAATTAGCGAGACTAGACAAGTAGAACGTACAAAATACGATTCCGCAAAGCAAACGTGAGCATCAGCAACGAAGAGACGACAGCGGTGGATAAGGAGGCTACTAGTACAATGACCAGTTACAGGGTAGCTTCAGCTTCGCCGCACTCCAAGGCGTTGAGTCGGTCTTCTTGTCGATACATCCACAAAGAGAGAAAGAGGCTTCGATATGGCATTTGAAGCGAGTCTGACGGAGAACGGGTTGTGAGTCTCGCGTGGTACGGCTCTGAGAGGCACACTTGAATAGCGTTCCTGTCATTGAGACGAGCTGGCTGAATCAAAGTAGATGCTAATCCGGATCAGATAAGCAACGCGTAAAGTTGCGTGGAATGGTGTGGCGTTTGATCTTCCTACATAACGATCCTGTTCAATATAGTCAGGAAAGACAGTTAACAGACGTACGAAAGCACACCTTTTTGAGAGTACGAAGAGACAAAAAAAAACAAATCATCACGCGATTAGGAGTTGAGTAAACAATTTCATTACAAGTTTTAATAACATCAACTATCCTCTGACTCGTACAACCTTTCGCTTTCCCTTCTGCGCACCCGTGGGCGTGCCCGGTGTCCCAGGAGCAGCGCCGGTGGTGGCGTTGCTTCCTGGGCGTTCATCCCGGCCTTGACGGTCTCTATCAGAACCCCCGTAGATATCGCAGGCGAGTATTGTGAGACGCGACTAGCGAGTGGGGGATGGGGCTCTGGTGGTATCGGAGGGCGGCGGCCACCGCGCTTGGTCGTAGGCTGCGGAGATTTGGACTTTGTCGTCGCCGGCTGCTTGCCCTTGGTTGCCGACGATTTCGATGGCGGATGCTGCTGCTGCTGCTGTTCGGTGGTATTTGAAGGCGTGGTATTGAAAGGCGCTTTGGGCACGTTCTCGGGCTTTAGACGCTGTATCTGGAGACAGATCATTTCCAGTAATTGTTTTTCTGCGGAATGGGTATTTAGCAGTGATAAGGACGAGAGTGACTAGGACATACTGGTCTGGATGGCGGGATTGATGAGACGGCCGTCCTTCTTCCATTGGACCCGTACGCGGCCTGGATTCTCCCAATCTCGCGGGTGGGATTTGTTTACTTCATGTAGGGTGCCGAGGCCAAGGCGATTGGTGGCTTCTGCAATGTCCTTGCTGAGTGGCCACCATACGCTCTTGGGCGGGCGACCCGTCGCTCGCCGGTGCCGTACGGGCGCTTGGCATCGATGTATATGGGGTAGATGCACGTCCATCTGCAAAGGCATCAGCCACAGACGCCCAGGCTAGACAGCGCACAACAGACTTTTTGTACGGCGTGATATCCGTCACCGAGTTCTTCAATTCTGGGGGCACGTCCGACGATGAGGGACGCGGCGGCGACGCTGGGCCTGCGCGCTGCGAGGGCGGCTCAAAGTCGTCATCGTCAGAGTCGGCGATTTCCTGGAGCAATGGCCCGCTGTTGCCAAAGTTGGGGAGCGGCTGGCTGGGCAGTGGTAGATCTGTGTCGTCGTCAAACTCTTCCACAACGGCGGCGCGACGTGACATGGTGGTAGTTGGTGGCAGACGATGAGGACGGAGTCAAGCAGCAAAGAGTGATTCCCACGTGGTCGCTGCCCTTTCCCTCTCACCGTCATCGTTGATGCTGCTTAGATGCGTCGACAGTCGCCGTCCTTGGCAGCCATAACGACAATATGCCTGTATGTCTCCGTGCCGCTGTGTAGCACGATGCTGACCACCCAACAGACTCATCCAACTCGTGCACGCTGCTACGCCTGCTAACGACTCTCTCATATGCCAGCCTTTTGGTCTCTGTGAACCATGTCCCCCTGCTGCAGTGCGTTTATTCACCACGCAAGTCCGCCCCATACTAACGTATACGCAGCTCGGTCAGCCATTCTGCCAACCATTCGGAAACCGGCGCTTAATGCACTGCACAAACGCGACCATTCAGGCAGCCCCGCCGACAGCGACCGAATCAACCACTGGCGAGCACCTTGCCTGGGGCTCATGCGGTCGCATTGTTGGCCAAGAACGCGCAGACTTTTACGAATTCGTCGCGTGCAATCTCTTCTTTGCCGTCGTCTCGCTCTTCATAGTCTTCGCGCGCTCGCGCAGGCTCCAACTCATTCATGCTCGGCAGCTGGCTGCGAGAATCGGACTTACTAGAGGAAGGCGTTGATGTTAAATGTACGTTTCTCTCCATTTCCATTCCTTCCAAGGCTTATCATTTTGTAGTATTGATTTCCTTATGCTGTGAATACCATACCTTGTACCTGTCCTAACGAATGCATCATTTCATTGTCTTCGGTCCCACCTAGACGAATCATGGGCAGTCCCCTTCTCAACGCAGTCATTAGCCTTATCCTTTTCGTCTCCTCTGCTCTACTCTCATATCTTCCAAGCGTCGCATCACCGCCAGGAAGCGTCAAAGCACAACGACTAGGACTATGCTGGCCCTAATACATCTTCGCTGAAGACTTTCCTCTCCTTGGGCGGCTCCCAAGGTTCCATTCTTGATGTTAAATGTACGTTTCTGTCCATTTCCATTCTTCCAATGCTTATCATTGCGTAGTATTGATTTCCTTATGCTGTGAATACCATCCCTTGACCCGTCGTAATGAATGCAGAGATATATGCAATGCATCATCTCGGTCCTACATAAGCGTCCATTGGCGGTCTCTTTCTCAACGAACCCATCATGAACCGCCTTTTCCTTTTCTTTAGTTTCACCCTCTTCCTCTCCTCTGCTCTGGCAGCAGACCATGACAACAGCGCTTTCGACCGTCCCGCCAGACACAAGACGTTGCGGAGGCGTCAAAGCACAACGACCGGGACCACGATTGCGACGACTACATCTACATCGTCGTCGTCGTCTGCCACAGCGTCGGCCAAGCCACCTAGTATCAGGGCAGCTTGGGTAGCGGATTGGATCCCATTCGACAATTTCTCATGGGGCAGCTATTCAATCCTAACGTGGGCATTTGCGTATGTGTATATCTTCTTATTGAGCTTGACATTCGTTAACTATTTCCGACAGTGTCACCACCTCCGATCCTAACAACCCGATCTCGATTCTTAATGAAACCGCCTTTGGCTCCTTCGTCGAGACTGCCCAGAAAAACGTACGCGCCGCCTTTGAACATCTCTCCAAGTCTAATACTTCTTCTAGAAGGTGAAAGCTTTCGTCTCCTTGGGCGGCGCCCAGGGTTCAATTTACTTCTCTACCCTCTGTGCCGTGGATAGTCGCACCAAGTTCGTCGACGCCATCGTCAACATGACCAAAGTCTACAAGTTGGATGGGATTGACTTTGATTGGGAGTATCCCAATGCCAGCGATGGGACTGGGCTCCGGTGTAACCAAAAGAACACCACTGACACTGCCAACTTTCTCGCGCTGCTTCAAGATCTGAGGAGCAGGCTCGACAGCGACGATGCGACGAAGACTCGGAGCGTGGCACTTTCAGCTGCAGTGGGATGTGGCCGTTCAATGGCGACACGGGCAACCCGCTGACGGATGTGACTGATTTTGCGAAGGTCCTAAATCATGTTGGTATGTCCTTCCCGATATGTCTGCATACGTATCCTAATTTGCGGTATAGCAATCATGGCATACGACGTCTTCGGCCCCTGGTCCAAAGGTCAGACTGGTCCCAATGCGCCTTTGCAGGGGGACGAGTGTATGAAGAGCGCACTTCCCGAACCACTCATCGTAACAGCGGACTCTGCTGTCAAAATGTGGACGGAAGCTAACATGCCCCCCGATCAGGTACCGTGCCTATCTCTCCTACCTAGTACCCGCACACGTACTCACGCACCGTAGATCGTCCTAGGTATCGCAGCGTACGGGCACTCCTACAGTGGCCTCAAAGGTTCTTTGGATAACTCTAACAAGGGTATAACGAAATACCCGCAGTTCAATTCCACCCCACTGGGTTATCCGGACGCCGAAGGACCGAAGGATCCATGTGGCGATCCGCAACCTCATAGCGGGGTGTTCACATTTGAGGGGCTCAAGAACGCTGGGTATCTCGACCGTGATGGGAACGCAATGAAGAATGTCACTTATGAGTTTGATAATTGTACGAGGACGGTGAGTATCATGATCCTCTTCTCCTCACTGAGCGCTGATGGAGAGACATCTCTGTAGCCGTTCCTGCATGACGAGAAGAACGATATCCTCATTTCGTATGATAACCATCAGTCGTTTAAAGAGAAGGGGCAGTACATTGTCGATAAGAAGTTGGCGGGCTTTGCGATGTGGCATGCGGCGAATGATTATGAGGGGTTGTTGGTGACGGGTGTTGAGGATCCATTTTT